GCCTTTGTCCTTCAAGAGTTGTACTTGCTGAGAGTTGGCTTAGGTTGCCCGAGGGGGCAGTATACAGAAGTAAAGCAATTATCGTAACACATGTTACCTTCTTTCCACAGTAAAGAAGCAGCAAAAGAACCAGTTTCCCTGCCTGAGCTGATGAAACGGCTAACAGAGGCAAACGAGAAATTAGCAGAATTTCCAGAGAATTTAAAGGTAAAAGGGGTAAGATGGGGTAGTACAGGTCAGTCAGCTGACCCTGTGTGGTGCTTGCTAATGAGGTAGCTTCTTGGCCAAAGTGCGATGCTACTAATGCGCTCTCCAGTCCTGGGAGTTAACGCCCTCTCTGTGTACCAGGGAAGCAGCAGCCTAGTCTTAGGCTTCTCAGGTGTTTCATCACTGCACTACCTGAGGTAGGTAGAGAAGCAAAGCACTGGTTTTTGCCAGGGTATGCTTGTGTGTGCGCCACTTTAAAGAGACGAGTTACCCCATGACCGGAGAAACCACCGTGCTGTCGTCCAGAATGAGTGCTGGACACATGGCACCTTACGTCGGCCCTAGTCACAACACACCGGTTGCACTGAGAGCAGGGCCCGATTCCGGGGGCGGGGCCTGTGCATGTGCCACGTGCCCAGGGGGAGTACTGCGCATGCGCCGCGCGCCCGGGAGCAGAGCCCCCTTAGGCGGGGGGCACCATTCCAGGGAATCGGCCTAAAGCCAACCCTGACTGAAAAGGTTGGTTTATGGTCCCCTTGGTTAGGTTTTTTGCACTAAACCTCGGAGAAGTTCCTGGGCCACACAGCATGAGTAGCCTCCTTAGCTGGGTGAGGTGGTGTAGACTATTGCAGTGTAATTTCCTCCTCAAAAATGGCTTCTTCAGGCTAGGTAGAATGATTCTGCGGAGTCTTCACACTAGGTAGAACGTTGAACTACACTCCAGGCTGACTCTCATGTGCTTTTAAAATATCCCTCGCTAGCTATGGTGATTATGTAACAACATAAGACCAGCCATCGCGAGTCAGACCAGTCCAGCCCAGTCTTCTGTCTGACAGTACCGGTGCCAGATGCTTCAGGGGGAATGAACAGAACAGGAAAACTATTGAGTGATCCATACTGTGTTGTCCAGTCCTAGCTTCTGGCAGTCAGTGTCCCTACATCTAAGAGCATGGGGTTGTGTCCCTGATCTCATGGGTTTAGTAGCTTTGATGGGACTTTCATCTGATTGTATCCTACAAAAATAGAGAGGAGAAAAGCTGAGAAAAGTACAGGTAGGCGCTGAAGAGAAACAGAGTATCCTCTTAAATAAATCCTTCCCTGGGGTCGTGTATGGCTTCCACACCTATGAGCTTTCCTCTGCTCCTTAGTTTAAAAACTCCTCTCCCCTTTTCAATATTACAGGCCAGCACTTTGGTTCTGTTTTGGTTTAGGTGGACCCTTTCCATCTGGGCTCCTCCTCCTTTCCCCAGAGATTCCTCTGTTCCTAATAACCCTAAATCTCTCCTCCAAACATCATCTCATCCTTGCACTTTAATCCTGCAGTTCTGCCTATCTGTCTAGCAGCATTTCCGGGAATGCTACCAGAGAGATCCTGGACTACAATCTCCTACCTAACTGCCATCTCCAGGACTTCTGTCCAGCCTTTGCCCCATGACACTGGTTAATATATATACCAGTGGCTCCTCCCCAGCATTGTGCATAAATCGATATAGATGTCTTGAGAGGTTTGCATCTGCCAGGTAATACAGCATGTGTAAATTTGGGATGTAAAATCCTGGTTAAAAAGTTAACCAGTGAAACAGAATACTTAATTGATTAGCAGTGATCCCAAGATGGCGGGCAGAACACGGAGGGGGAGGCTGCTGCAGCCCAGCGTGGGTTAACTGGTTACCCTGGTAAGAATTTTGGTAAGGTGCATGCTTACCAGGTAACCAGGTTTTACTTGGCTCAGCAATGACAGCTGAAATCAGATGATGAATGAAGAGAATGTGATATTAAAACCATGTGTGCTCATCCCCTTGCCTCCTGCACCCTGCAGTAAAAGCAGAGCGCAGCCATTCTACTGAACACAAGCTTAAGGGGGAAGAAACAAACTTGGCTAAACACAAACATTCTGTACTAGAAAAGGGAATGCATAAAACTGTAGCAAAAGCCTTGCTTTTCCCAAGGGCTCTTTCAGAGTTTGTGCCAATGTCAGCAGTATTGCTTTCCACAGATGGTTTCCCTCTGCCTGAATGACACTGCCTGCTTGTGCCACCCTGTTGAAAGAGCACGTGACATCTTTGGTTCTCTTTGCAGGCCTTCCCTTTCCCAGATGTGCTGGAGTGTGGCCTTGTGCTGCTTCACATTGGAGCCCAGTGCCCCACAGAGCTGAATCCAGAACTGCAGCAACAGGCCTTGGACCTGCTTAGGAAATACAGCAGAGCTGAAGTTTATGAAAAGATCTGCAGGAAGTTCTTAACATGAAGTTTATATTCAAGCCCAGCAGCCTGAGTTACCAGCAGCTACGCCAGGGCTGTACTGTTTTCTTTTTTTAAGTGAAGGACTGTGACTGTGGACACTACTTTGGAAGATGCTTCATTCTAGAAAACGGGAGTCCCAAAAATCAAATTTATATACAGACTCACTACCTGTCAGTTACTAATGGCCCCTTACAGCTCCTTAATCAATTCCGTGCTTGTAAAAGTGGAAAGCTATGGCCCGTTGTCTTATACACAGCATCTTGTCTAAATTAGTTGTGTTTTTTTTAGCTTTGGGGGAAGAGAAATTATGTGAGAAGCCCTTGAATTTACATACACAGCTGTAACAATTAGACAGCTACATCAACATTGTGGCTGTATAGAAGGTAGCAGTTGCTATGTAATTAAAGAGTGATAATATAATATAACTTGAAGCAACTTACTACTTCACCCATCTTAAGTTTTGGGCACATGGTTTTTTTGTGGGGAGGGAGGAAGTGTCTTGCTTTCTCTAAATTCAAAGCTCAACATCTAAGTTTTATTTAATTTGGAAGGGCGCTAGGGAGAAAGGAACCAGTGTTTTTGAAGCATATTAGTGTATAGCTGACAGGTTTTTTTCACGTTGTACCATGTGCTACTTTAGGTTCAGTTCTGTCAAAAAGTTTTTCATGACTAAATGAAGTCCTCCTGTTACTCTGTTGATGGTATAATTGGTCCTAACTCTAGTTCAATGGAGATGTAAAAATCAAGGCCTTTTGTATGTGTAAAAGAGCTGACCCAACTAACCATTGGCCCTTTGTTTCGTGTACAGCTAGCCTCTGGATTCACACACAGTTTTGTTCTAATCTGAAATGTCAGTTTTCCCCTTGAAGCCTGAACTTTCGCTGTCACAGAGCAATTGCAGAAGCAAGTTTTGCTGAGCACAGCATGCTGCTCATAACAGAGGCCAGTGAGTGTTCAGAGGGCTGTAGTGGGCATGGAAGTTCCAGCTGAGTAAAGCTGGAGCATAGGGCTTATACTACTACTTCTGCTCCAACATGTAAGCTTGACTTTAGTGGAAAGGAAGAAGGAAAAGTTTAATGGGAGTGTATTAAAGCTGCGGTGGCAGAAGCATACTTGTTATGCTAAAAAGACACTTACTTATAGAACAGTGGTCTGACTGCTGCCCCTTTCTAGGAGGTCTGTGGAGAACTAGATAACCCTAGATTTTGGTAAATGGGCATGGTCACACTTTTCCATGGAGGGGATGTGGGATTTGGTACTGGGGTTGGGTGCAGAAGGGGACTGCAGTGCAAGGCTCTGGTATGGGTAGGGCTTGACAAACGGTGGCGAAACCTACTCGCCCGCTCTGCACTGCGCATGCGTGCACTGCCAGTGAACGGGGCAACCGGCTGAAATCTACTCACCACGGGCACGTAGATTCAGTGATTTGTCGAGCCCTGGGTATGGGTATAAGGATTCTGCCCTGGGGGGGAGGGGGTGCAGGATGGAGGTGCATGATCTGGGACAGGGAAGGGGACTGCTCAGTGTCTGGCTGCTCTGCTGTGGGGGGTGTGAAGCCTCCCCCTGATGTACAGAGAGCAGCTCTGTGAGAGGGTCCCAGCAGGGCAGCTTGTAGGCCACATCTTGCCCATCCCTGCCCTGGAATCATGTTCCTTGTGTTCAAGGCACCATGCCTGGAAACTAGAAGAGGGGGCAGTAAGTCCCCATCCCCCTCTGCTGCAGCAGGAGGATTGATGCTTGGAGGAAACTGCTGCTGTCACCATAAGACAAAAGATACAAAGGAAAGAGCTTCCACAGCAAACAAGCCTGACACGCTAGCAAGGTTGCAAGAGAACACAGCATAAGATGACTCTGCTTGGGCTGCTGAAGTGTGAAACAGCACAGGTGCATTATTAGGTGATCTGGTCAGTACTGCCCATCTGTGCTCAGAGTAAGGCAGAATTGTTAGTTGCTTCCCCCTGATGGGATGCTGCAAGTCTAATAATTCCAGAGAGTGTTACAATTAAATCTGAAGACCCAAAGCTGTAACTGATTAAAAAAAATCTTTATTTTACAAAATTAAAAACAGTATTTACACACTTTAAATACCAGCTTAACATTTTAATCATTGCAAAGAATGTGAGGGTTTTTAAAATGCAAGACTGTTTTTTCTCCGGGCAAAAGTTTTGGGGGAGTTTTTTAAACATGTCCAAGCTGTCCTGAAACAAGCATGGTCTTTTAGAATATCCAATTTAAAAAAAAAAGTCAATTCTGAACCTCCCACCCTTGGGCTATTCTGTCTCTAAAAGGGAAATCCAATTGTAGTGCCAAGGTGATAACTCACTAAAATATAAAACGAGCCACTTTTTATCCACCTACTAAACTTGTACATGCTGTAATGAAAAGGGTAAAATCTTCCACATCTTCGGGTAATACCAAGTAGCTGATGTCAATCCATGTAGCCCAAAACTGTTATAAATCTTATAGAAAAGGCAAACTTCTAGGCCATTTTAAACTGCAGAACCATTACTATATTAAG